GAGATCGACGGCTCCCCATTATCCGTTTAGACGTGCTGCACGTATTCCGGATTGAGGAAGGAGAAGCCCATGAACTCCGTCTGATCCAGGTTCATCATGAACAGCTTGTCCGTGGGCGTCAGGTCCGTCTTCTCCGAGGTGAACTGTTTGTCGAAGTTGTTCACGTCCTTGCGGTGTTTCTGGTGATGGAGATAGAGTTGGTTAATGGTGGAATCTCATGGTTGTGGGACGAGAGAAGTGGGAATGGGAGGTTACTCACGATCTTTGGTTTGAACGGCGGCTGCACCTCGCGGTTCTCTATCTTCACCCAGTCGATATGTCGGAAGAACGCGTGGCTGCGCACGTCCTCCTCGCCCCTGAATCCACAGCCTAGTCTCTTCACCGGGTTCTTCGTGAGGAACTGTAAATCAGGAGGTAATTAACCCCTTTGTGGACGAAGACTCGTTAACTCCTTGGTTTATGATTTCTTTTTCAACTCTGATATGGCTACTTTGTTATTAATTTATTGGAAAAAGGGAAATTCTAAGCATATGTTATGACTATGTTTCCTTTTGAGTATGATAGTTGATTACTGAGGAATAATGTTTACTTTGAATTTGGATTAACTAAGTAATATATATATTTCTCAACTCTGGTCGATATGGCTACTTTGTCATTAATAATCCCTTAGAAAAAGAGAAAAATTCTAAGCATATGTTATGACTATGTTTCCTTTTGAGTATAATAATTGATTACATATGGCTACTTTGTCATTAATTGGTTTTTCGAAAACCGCGGGAAAACTGTGCGACTGTTATAATAATAATAATAATTATGAGGAACCACCTTCAGAGAGTAGGAGATTCAAGACCGAAGTGAAGGTCAATTAAAACATTCTTAATTGGTAATTTCAACGGATAAAGATTCTGTTACCGCTTTGCAGATTTCTCTAGCCTCCTTCGTCAGGCTTTTCGGGTAACTGACGTTATGATCCTTTATGGCGTCGAACAGTTCGTCCTCATCTTCCCCGTCGAACGGTGGCTGACCGACCAGCATTTCGTACAGCAGCACCCCGTACGCCCACCAGTCCACCGACTTTCCGTACGGTTGATATAGAATGATCTAGAAAAAGGATATAAATCAACCTACACCTGCTACCAGCCTCGACGGTACTCGTTAATATTTCTTTAACAATAGAATTACGCAGCAGTCAAAATGACTGGTTTCGATTTTTTTGTTCAGCAATTACTGATATCTTTGAAATGATTTTGAAAATAAATAGTTTCCATAGAGTACTATACCGAATGTCTCAAGAAACTGAAAATAATCTATTGTTATAATTTCTATGGGAATTGCACATTAACCCTTAGCACTCCAGGTGTTTTGTAATCTATCAGCAACCGCGACTGATTTTCATAGTATTCGAAAATTAGAAATGCTGTAACATTCTTTCAATCTTTTATCTTCCTTGTTAGTACAAAATTTGGATGTGTGGAAAATCGAATAATTTTACGGTAGTTTACAACTGGTGCAATATTGGAGCCAGAGTTCAAAGGGTTAATCGTAATACTCGGTAGTTCTAGCGTCAACCCTCGAACCGGTGAGACAGTCTCCAGAACACTGAGGTAACCTCACTTTATCAAAATTTACAAAATCGAGCACCATGAAATTATCTGACCAGTTCTAGGGTTCACTCGCAAGGGAATCGATCGAAACAGAAGAAACCAACTTCGGGAGCGATGTAATCCGGTGTTCCGCAAAACGTTTTGGTGGTTTTGTCGCCGCTGATGCCCTCCTTGCACATCCCGAAGTCCGCAATCTTGATATGTCCGTCCTGGTCCAGCAAAACGTTGTCCAACTTCAGGTCCCGGTAAATGATGCCTCGGCCGTGCAGGTAAAACAGACCTATCGCTATCTCGGACGCGTAGAATCTGCGAGAATCGAATGAGAGTTCCCGCTTTAACCGTTCCGTTTCGCGGGTAGCAGAAACCTAACCTAAAACCCATCACCGGCGTCCACTTACACTGCGACCGGCTCCTTGAATTTGCCGCACTGCTGTATCTGGTACATCAAATCCCCGCCGTTCACGTACTCCATGACGAAGTATAACCGGTCCATGGTTTGGAAACAGGAGTGCAGCTGCACGAGGAACGGCGGCTTGCTGGACAACGCCAGCACCCGCTTCTCCACCATGGCGCACTCGACGTCCTCGTCCTGGATGATGATGTCCTTCTTCAGTATCTTGATGGCGTACAGCTCGTCCGTGCCCTTCCGTTCCGCCAGCATCACCTACAGTCAATTTCACGCTGCTTTGGTACTGCTTTTATCTTGGCAATGGATTGCTAAACATTCAATTTGTGGAGCCCACTTTAGGGATTGCAAGGGGACAAATTTGAACAATCCTTCAAGTGGTTTCCATGCATTGCTTAAACACTTGTGAGTCACTTTACACTGTTACAATTGTAGTGGTAAAGCGAATCCCAAGATTCACATCTCTGCAGTAATGCAGGCTTTAGTCACTCTATACTATTGTCACAACTGCAGTGATAAAACGAATCCTAAAATTCACATCTCTGCAGTAATGCAGGCTTTAGTCACTGTATACTGTTGTTACAACTGCAGTGATAAAATGAATCTCAAGATTCAGGTCTCTGCATCCTGTAATGCAGGCTTTAGTCACTCTATACTATTGTCACAACTGCAGTGATAAAACAAATCCCAAGATTTATATCTCTGCAATAATACAGTCTTAATCACTGTACAATCGTTACAGATAAATTATAGATAGATCCTCATTCGCAATCGAACATGTTGACTGCCACGGTGGTCACCGATGGCCGGAGCTTCCAAATTGCTTTTTAACAAGTACAATAAGACAATCGACGTCTGATAAAATATGTGCTAACATGAGCAGCTAGATAATAGTGTAATACCAAATTGGTAATGATTCTTATACCATTTGCCTTAGTAGAAAGAATAAGTATTACGCAATAGAGAAAGTCTAACGGTAGTCAACGCGTTAACACGTTCACCACCGGCGCTTATCTCATTGACAGTCTCCTCATTTTCTTCAATCCATTAAACCTAAAAACATTGGAAAAATGGAACTGAAAGAGCCACTGAGTTCCTCAATATAATGCCATAGTTTATAATTTCTAATAACAATATCCATTAATTTCATTTTATTCTGCAGAATACAGGAGTACGCCGGTGGCGAACGTGTCAAGCATCCAGAAGGGGACTAACTTTCCCGAAGCTGCCCTTCCCGAGGACCATGAGGAAGTTGAAGTCGCTGGCCCTGATCAAGTCGCTCTTGCCCATGTTGTGCGGCACCTCTTTGTCCTGGGTGGCCGGCGCCTTCTTCGTGACCGATGTCTTCTAAGGGGAAAGAGCGTGAGACGAAGCGACGCAACCCCAGCGAGCGCTGTGATAAATCAGAAGCAATCTTACTCGCATCTTGACTTTCAGCTCGGCGAGGTCGACGCCTTCCTCCGGCACGGGGACATTGTAGTACTCTCCTTCCTCCTGGGTGAGCAGTTTGAACCATCCGCTCGCGGGCGCCTTCATCAGCTCCGAGATGCCGAACGACAGGGAACCCATGAAGTCGTTCCTGGACGTTCTGTCCCAGTCCCAGACCTCGATCAGCAGCCTCCGGTCCTTGTCCTCGGGCTTCAGGTCGCTGAAAAGTGCCAGGTGCCACGAGTTTAATGACGAGATCCTCGTGTGAGGGTCATCAAGCTCTTCCAACGCTCATGCGTTAACCCCTTGCCGTAACTTAGAATTGACCAAGCGGTCCAGAAATCTTTGCGAAAGGAGCAGGAGATGTTGCCGGAACTTTAAATTATGTCTTCAGACTACCTGCGACTCGAGATTAACACTAGGTTTACGGAACGCGTCAAATTGACGCATATTGGATTTTATAAACGGATTTTATAAATTGGAATATTTAACTGAAATAGCTGCTTTATTTATCCGTGAATTATCGTTGAGTTTCAAACAATGCCTATCTCTTTGAAACATGTTGAATATTTCCAGTGAAAAGGTTTTGAGTGCAAAGGGTTAAGACGACGAGGTCGACTCGTAAGGTTCATGTTTGGTTCGAATTTTTTAATACGAGTCAGACCAGTGGTATTTATTAAATGTTTATTTAAATTCTCATCGCGAGTCGGACTCGTGACAGTACGGCAAGGGATTAATGGATCTATTCTTTCAGGCAACACGACGAGGAAAAGAATGTGTAAGGAACTGCACAAGGAGGCCGGCCCGAAGGACTTACAATACGATCATCTCGTTCCATTCCGGGTTCAGACAGGACTTGATCGTTTTCGTTTTTTTCTTCACGTTGTCCGAATCCGGGATCAGCTTCAGCTTGACGTACGGGTCCGACAAGCCGTTGGGGTCCATCGGGATCAGGTTTCGTCCCTGCTTCACTGCAATCGGTTCCGTGACACGGAATTAGGGCCTAGATCAGTGTTTCCCAACGTGGGGTCGTCGCCCCATAGGAAAGAGATTTGGTTTTTAAGGGGGCAAATTGGAATTTGAAATGTCAGTTCATATATTTCACACTGTTTACGCACTAAAGAAAATAGCAAAGATATTGTAATAAATATTATAGGGATATTATAATATAATATTAGAAATTATATGTTACATAGGGGGCAATTTGAAATTTGAATGATCACTTCATATATTTTACAGTATTCACGTACGCAAAAAAAATAGCAAAAATAATATAATATTAGAAATTATATATATGTCACATAAGAAGGCAATTTGAAATTTGAAATATCATTTCATATATTTCTCAATATTCACGTAGGCAAAGAAAATAGCAAAGATACTATAATAAACATTATAAAAATATTATAATATTACAAATTCTATACATGTCACATAAGGAGTCAATTTGAAATGTGAAATATCACTTCACATATTCCACAGTATTCAAGTACATAAAAAAAATAGCAAAAATATTATACCAAACATTATAAAAATACTATAATATAATATTACAAATTCTCTACATGTCACATAGGGGGTGCATAAGAATTTCAAAGTCTCAGGTGGGCCACGGCGCAAAAAACCTTGGGAAACACTGGCCTAGAGATAAAGACGTCGCGGGTTGGCCTAGCCTAGACCAGCTCGGTCCAGCTCGCAGCGGATCGACGTCGCGACGTCTCACCTAGAACGGATTTCAACGGCGTGGCGTTCCGTCTCGCGTTCCCGACCTTGCGATCCGAAAGAACCGCTTTTTCCGGCCGATAATAACGGTCTAATAATAAAGATCTCACGCTTTCCTCGAGGCCCCGCGCTCCGCCAGAGATAATCTTCCTCGGCTACTCGTACTACTTGAAAAACGTTTGACGGTGAACGTCGATAAATCGATCGAGAGATATTTTTAATAACGATTGCGCGGGACCGTAATACCGTCAATCGCGCGGATCCGCTTCTGGGAGCTCGGGGACGCGTTTTCGGCTCCCCGTCGGGGAACGCTAACGATCGCCGCGTCGTCGACTCGCTGTCATGTCCAGCTTTTCCCGAGACTGAAGATTATACTCTAAATTATGAGAATATATAAATAGTTTCATTTCAGTACTGTAACGAATGTCTAAAGAAACCGAAAATAATCTATTACAATTTTTATAGGGTGCATACCAATCGTAACACTGACTGCCACGTCACCCGAATTCGGGTGACATTATTTTTCACAGAAACGTGGACATTTCTTTTATGACGTATCGAACGACCCGAATTTTGTTGGATATATGAGACATAAGAAAGATACTGGAGCAATTGTTAAGAGTCTTGATTTCTCAGTTTCTGGTTAATGGAGAACACTGTTTCGAGTACATGGGGGTTTCGATGAGTGTTTACGTGGCAGTCAAAGTGTTAAGCGCTTGGTAGTTCTAGTGTTAAATGAATGCTACTCTGTTTCAGTGACCGATCTTCAAAAAACATGGAACGCGAGTAGCAAGACACTGTTGAATGAAGAAATTAAAGGGAGCCTTACCCTCGACGGTGAGCTTGTTGCCGGAACACGAGATGTTCAGGTTGATACGACCCCGCCGCTCGGTGTGGTCGCACCCGCATAGATTCGGTACGCTCTCCTCGCATCTCTTGTGCACGTTCATGTCACATGCTGCGTCATCAGATCAACGATCAGTCATCGGAACCGTTCGACGCTCTCGCTGGCGTTAGCGTCGTTTCAGCCAGACCCGGCAACCTCGTTCGTTTGCCGCGTTTCTTTGTTTTCTTTCTTTCTTTCTTTTTTTGTCATTCTCTTTATCATTTTCCTTTTCATTCAACGTCTCGAGATCGAGCAGCGGGTGGTGGATGCAGACTAGCGCGGGGGTGTGCGGCGCTTCTTCGCGCGTTCCGCCATCGCGCCGCAGCCGCCGGTCAATCTTAGTTTCTACGTTTGATTATTTTCTTCGAGTCTTTTGCTTTCTGAATTGTCTCCTTTCGCGAAGAACTGAGACTACGGCGGCTGCGGCAGGCGCGTACGCGGAGTCTAGAACGTCCGTTGATTTGACATCCATCGTGAGATGGAGAGAATCGTTGGATCATGCGAGGAAATCATCGACCGTGGCGGATACTCGGTTGTATTGAAGAAAGTACTCGATTGGAACCGTGGATTAGACTCTTTGCAGACGAATGTCATTTTGATGAGATGAAACAATATATATCTTTGTAGTTTCTACAGAGAATTTTAGAAAAGTCGATTCAACTGTTTGGTGGTTTTAGTGTTAGAGAACAAGGAAACTGTACCGATATCCTGCTGTTCTCAACCCTTTGCACTCGAAAGTGTTTCACTGCAAATGTTTAACATTTTTGAAGGAGATATACAACACTGTTTGAAACTAATTTAAAGATCAGCAGATGAATTAGACAGAGTAATTTTAATTAAATATTTCCCATAGGAATATATAGTTTCGTTTAAAATACTAAATATTCAATTTTATAGTTTTGCTGTAGCAAATCAAGTGACTGAGAGTCACTCGAGTGCAAAGGGTTAACATTGGAACTAGTGTCAGTCAGAATCATTGGTTTCCATTGTTGCTTGGCAATGATTGATATCTTAAGAGCATTGAGTGTTCGAAACGATCTTGAGAATAAGCTTCATTGGAATACTATAGAGAATGTCTGGAGAAACCGAAAGTCTATTGTTACAATTGTTGTAGGGTTAATATTGTAAATATTAATAATATAAAATTAGTTAATGCTGAGACGTCGCGGTAGGATTCAGTGGAGGGCACTCCGAGCGAGTGAATGAGAAAAAAAAAATATTTCGAAACGATTTTGAGAATAAGCTTCATTAGAATACTGTAACGAATGTCTGGAGAAACCGAAAGTCTATTGTTACAATTGTTATAGGGTTAAATTAATTAGATTCAGTGGAGGGCATTCCGAGCGAGTGAATGAGAAAACGAAAAATAGTTTCAGGGGTGTTGACGAGGACAAAGGACGAGCCGACACGTCTTCCACGGTTATCAGATTAAAAATAACTGTCGAGTATCCTCGAGACGCGGAGGGTCAAGGAAATCGAACGAAACGGCTCGCGTTATTTCAAGAAAATATTCAAGAAACTATAAATGCCCGTGCACCCTTGTCAAACGGAAAATAACGCATCCTTCACGGGGTAAGGGGCAGACGATTAAAAAAGCTAAGAGACTTTCGAGTTTACTTGTACCAAGACCGACGAACGTTCGATCGATTAATAATTTAAACGACGTTCGAATGTTTAATGCTCATTAAGATAACAGCTGCCGTTCCAATTTCTCAAGCGAATCGATGTAGCAAACGTGTAAGTCGTTCGAAATGTCACTGAATGCACTTTCGTAGTTTCTATAAGAGGTAACAGCCGTTAACCCCTGGTCTTACTCGTTTCACCTCGAATATTTCTGCTTTCATGCTGTCGCGACTCTATAGACCAATGTTTCCCAACGTGGACATTTGAGTTATTACTTCATATATTTCACAATATTCACGCGAGTAAAGGAAATATCAAAAATATTATATTAAATATTATAGGAATATTATAATATAATATTAAAAATAATATATGTATGTTAGTATTATATTATAATATTCCTATATAATATTTATTATAATATGTTACATAGTGGGGCAATTTGAAATTTGGAATATCACTTCATATATTTCTAATAAATATTGTAATAATTATAATAAATATTGTAAGAATGTTACAATATAATATTACAAATTCTATATATGTTACATAGGGGGCAATTTGATTTTTAGGGGGGCAATTTGAAATTTGAAATATCGCTTCATATACTTCACAGTATTCACATACGCAAACAAAATAGTAAAAATATTATAATAAACATTATAAAAATATTATAATATTACAAATTCTATATATGTCACATAGGGGGTGCATAAGAATTTTATGGCGTCCTTCACGATAAACGTTGGGAAACACTGCTATAGACACGGCTGTTACAAGCTGAAGTATTATAGATTAAATTTCATTGATTCCTGAAAATAATTTCTTATTTTGCTCTCGCTGCGTCAGGTTTCGAAAATTGACAAAATCGAGTCACAGAGAACACTTGCGAGACTCGTCAATCCTACGCGAAGGGTTAAATTGAATTGTTTGGTCGAGTTCCAGCCGGCTGTGGTTGATTTATGCAAAAGCACGGTCCGATCTTGTACTTTCAATTGGGGGTAGTATCCGCGAGCCGCGGTTTGGCCTACGGTTCGGTCGATGACATCCTCGTGTGTGTCTGTTTCGCGGGGTGAGCGCCGTGACGAGCCAAGAAAAGATTCGATGGCAGCTCCGATCGATGCCGAAGAACAACGGGCGTTCGTTTACCCGCGGACACGCGAAACGTCGCTGAGCCCCGTCGTGGAAGCGAGTACCGTCGAGCGAGTCTTCGACTTCGTTACTTAAATCATTCGTGTTTGTTCAGTTTAGCGTTGTTGGTAGATTTATGTTCATATTCGGAATTTGTATTTATTGAATCATGCGTGGAACAATGGTGGCTCAAGGGTGTGGGACAAGGGCTGCAGCCCTTGCAGAATGGGAAACGAACGTTTCTGTTTTGTATGTGCTGTGCAGTCAAGGATTGATAATTAACACGTTGAATGATTTCATAGAGCAAAGTACATGAAGTGACAGATGTGGTAATGAATTATTGAGTTGAATTGTGATAGATAATGTTTGTAATTTAGAAGTGTAGAGATTGGATGATATAGAAATTTTTGGAAATGTAGAAATATAGAAATTAAGTGATGCAGGAGTTTATAGGATTGAAATATAGAAATTAAATAGTATAGAAGTTTATAATATAGAGATATAGAAATTATAATATACAGATATAGAAGTTTATAATATAGAGATATAGAAATGAAATAATATAGAAGTTTACAATATAGAAATATTTTCAAATAGTCACCGTTTAATTGAGTGAATTATAGTCAGTCGATTTGGTCGCCACCGGTGACCCCCATGGCATTCAACGTGTTAATAAATATACTTAACCTTGGGGTGGCATTGATATACCTGTACACGGTGCATATGAGCCGCTCACTGGCCAAATCAATTAACTCCACTTTCTGAATTTTTCAAGATTTTATCATTAAAGCGCTTCATTAGCCCTTAGCCCTAACTTTGCTACCAAGACACAATGGAAGATCTTTCACTCATGGAAAAATTGCAATAATAACAGCTAAAGAATATATTATTCTACATATTCTACATATTTGTTATAACAAATCTACACCTACGTTAATCAAGTAAAATTCTACAATATCGATTCAATATTACATTCAAAGGAAAATTCCAAAAATCAATATACAACTGTATCATCATTCTTCTCTTTTGTTTCACGGAGTTAATCGATTCGCCCAATGAGTGGCACGTATTTAAATTTCATTGCTGCAGCCTCGCCACGTATTCCCTCGAGCTGCCACTGGTTCCTCTCGGTTCAGCTATCCGTCTTTCATTTTTGGCCCGCGCCAAAAAGAAGAGCAGAGTTCACTCGTCCGCGTCTAACTCAGCTTCCGTCAAATCTGATTACAAATGGCCTTCCATTTTCGTGGCATTATTAATTGAAGCTTCCTGCAACGCTAATTATGACTGAAAACGCGATGTCAGTGAATCGTCAATTTACACCTTAGAATAGTTAGTTTCCAATGATTCTTAACACCACAGAACTGCCGGACAAACTGTGATGACCTTGAACATTTGTGTTTCATGATTACTGAAATTATTCAGATGCGTTTATAAGAAGTTGCAAAACGAAATCTATTTCTCCAATTTGATAAGAACTTACTAAAAAATACTTATAATAAATAAAATAACAAATAATATTATAAACTATAATATATTATATTATATAATATTATTAATAATATTTATATTAATATTATTATTATAATATAATACTAATATAAATATTGTTCATAATATTATATAATAATATAATATATTATTAATTATTATTATTATTATATAATATTATTAATAATAGTATATAATAATATTAAAAACTTATCAAGAACTTTTATAATCACTAAGGCAGTACTGTTAGCGAATCATTCGATGCCGAATCGTTTCCGATGAAACGTTCCAAATGAAATTCAATGAACTCAAGGGAATGAACGCAATCGAAATGCATCGAGTTCGCGCGACGAGACTCGCCGGTCCGCGTCGGGGCCCCAGAAACGAGAATGGCGGGGACGCGCGAACAAAGTGACGGCGAACGGGGCGTGCGGCGAGAAACACGGCGCACGCAGCTCCGCGATTTGATCTGTGCGTCGCGAGGCGTGTCCTTGTAATCTCCGCTTCGGAACAGATAAAAACCGTGTTCGATCCGACCCAGCGGCGAACTTTTGCCTGCGTGCGATTACACGTTTCCCTCGTGGAAAATAGAAATTAACCCCTTGCTCTATGATGTTCTTGTAAACTGGCGTCCATCTGACTACTTTCCTCTGAATGATTTATTAAGAAGATTCCAGTCTTATTCTATGTCAATATGTGTTCTAAGGTATAATCATTGGTAATAGAGGAATGATGTTACATTTATGTTTGTTAAATTCTATTTGAATTAAGATAAGAGATAAAATTCCAGTCTTATTCTATGTCAACGTGTGCAAGGTATAATCATTGAT